GCGCTATGACCTCTGACCCCCAAATGAAATTCACACAGAATTGAACATATTTTCTCTTCAATAGGTTCATCTAAGAAAGATATTTGCAAATGTAAATATATAACATTAAATGCTTAGAACAGAACAATTCCAAAGAAATCGCTGTGAATCAGCTAATCCTCGTGCGTTAGTTTTTGAGCTAATATCTTCGTCGAAGTCATGCTAATCCTCGACAGTCGTGCGCGTTAGTTTTTTTTTAGCTAATCCCTCCGTCGAAAGCTAGTCATGCTAATTCGCAGTTATCCATAATCCTATAGTTTTTCAATAAATATAAATTTTGATTTTATTTAGTTATGAGAATATTGATCAGTTATATAATCTGTAAATAAATATTTCTTTTTTTTAAAAGATGACCCCCCCCCCTACTTCAACACGCACATGTTGCAGTGTATTCAAAGAAGGTGTAGATTTTTAAAATAAAAAGTGGTACTAAGAGAAGTTTAATAAAATTTTTCACCTTGGTTATATAATGTTTTTATCGTTCATCGGTGGATTTATTGCTATGCAGTCTGTTTCAGTGTGAATTCTGACCCATTTTACTGTTTTCTCTCTTTTTCTTATACTGCTAAAGTAGAATCTGACACACTGTCTATTCTGATAAAATATTTAAGTAATTTACATTAAATAATTGGTTTACGTGCCATTTCCGTTTATCCTTCTTCTCAAGCCCTAAGCTAGCGAGGATGGTGCATCTTGTTTTTAAACCTTTATAATTTTAATACTTTGGAAATCTTGTGTTTTCGTTTAGTTCTTCATTCTTTTTTTACGAAAAAGCTAATTTTTGCGGCCGATTTGATGCTTTGCAGGCACGCGGCTACAAGGGGGGGGGCCTTTTTTCCCAACATTACCTATACCTATTGCCCCCACACTTCTTACCAACCATAGTAAAATGATATCAGGGAAATGTAGTATTGTTTGCAAAACAATTGGTAGTGAAAGAAAGTTGACGTTGAAAAAAGTTGCCCCCCCCCATCCCCCACGAAATAGGATTCTCGAGTTAGAGCAATTTTTTTTTTTTTTTGCTTGTCAACTTTTACAGGTAAGTGCAAAAATTTCTCTGGCCGACCCCCCTCCCCCAACTTTCAAAAACGATGCTACGTACCTGCTTTGCATCAATTTTGTTTAAAAGTCTACTATTCAGTGCAGGGATCACTTTGGGCTGCGCCTTTGCGCCATTGGCGCTCAATATTTGTAAATGGCGCACTAAAAAATTAGAAAGGGGTCAGTCTGGCGCATGTCTTACAGATATGGCGTTAAACATGCAAAACTGCGGGTCGAAACTCTTATCTTGGTGCATTTTAGGATTTTCAAGCTGACCGATTGTATTCATGACGTATCTGAGCATACTGTTACTTCGTTCAATCAGACTCTTTGTAGTCGCGTATGTTCTTTACACCACCAGAGCGTCTGGTTGATCAAGACTAAAATCGGAATTGTACACGGAATATTTCCTTCGTTTAGATTACGCTACTAGAATTTTTTTTTTACCGAATACGTAGTCAATTATATTTATTAAAATTATATGTAATGATTTAAATGATATACATATAAAAGTAATACTCCAGTATGTAATATGTTCTAATATGTAATATTGACTTTTTCTTAAAACTTTGATTATTTATTTCGAAACAAAAGAAGTACAAGTTACTCATTGTGTATCCAGACACTTGCCCGAAATGCCTCCAAAGCGAAGATTGGTATTGGGCCAACTGACCGAAAACAACGAAAGCTTTCGTTTGTTTTACAAATAAAACGACGGAACTTTTTCATTCCCAGAATCGGCAGAGGTCTCTGATTAAGAAGAACAGTCCAAGACGTTGACTCCTGATGTCAACGGCAACGATGTTCGTCATTTCCAACTACTGGTCCAAGTGGCTAACTTTGCACCCGTGGTTGGAATTTGATCAGATGGGACTAAAATGTTTTGCAAACAAATAAAAATTTTCTCATTTCAGTATTTTGCGTATTTTGCTCCGAGTTCTTTGCATACAAAACCAGTCCCTACCATTTGAACCAACTTTAATCTGCAACTGCCCCAGGTCTATTCAGTAGAGAAATATGCATGTAAGTTTGCATCCTTTATAGTTTAGCTCTTCAACAACTTTTCGAGAACTAAATTGATAAAATCAAAGGGGCGAGGAATTAACTTAGGTATTCTGTTTATCAATTAAATTTATACTCTGTTGTATGAAGTCTAAAACAATTCTCCAATATGACATTTTTCAGTACTGAGATGAAATTTAAAAAGAAAAACAACTTCTTTTATATTTATAATATTATTCATTTTATTTAAAAAAAAAACTCAAATTGGTTGTGTCAGAAATGCATTTAAAAACCCTCAAAGACCCATAAAATATACTTGAAATTAATCCAAAATAGCATGGAAAATCAATTTTCCATTGGTCCATCAACATTAAAATCCAGAGTGATCCCTGCTATTGTGGTTTCTTCCCTAAATATATATACTGCTCTGTGTGCGTAAGATACATATGTAGCCTTCGATATTGTCATTATTTTTCGTGTATTACATGTAAAAACTGTGTACATATTAAATGTTCAGGAAATGCCAAAAATTCAGGAAGTGCAGCGAAATCTTAAGTGACAGTATAATAAATGATGATTTAACTACGAACAAATTCATTTCTAAATATTTACATTTGCAAATATCTTTCATAGATGAACCTATTGAAGAGAAAATACGTTCAATTCTGTGTGAATTTCATTTGGGGGTCAGAGGTCATAGCGCGACCGGATCACAGAGCGATTTGATATTTTGACCAAACAACTTCTAGGTCATTGCGCGTCACTACATAGCAATACGTTTGCCTGTTCGTGTAATAAATACAACTAAACTCGAAATGTATTCGTTTCAAATGTAAATATAAGTAATAAACAACAATGTTAAAAAGTTCACTGGGAAATGAACTTTTAGTTGGTACGTGATCAAATCTACTGAGAAGCCCTTCGGGCTTCACAGGATTTGATCACGTGACCAACTAAAAGTTCATTTCCCAGAGAACTTTTTAACATTGTTGTTTATTTCTTAATTAAGCATATTTTTAGCTTGATGTTTTCGTTATTAAAGAACACTTTTCTATTCTGTCAAAATCTCAATTTTTTTAAGTTTGTATGCCGTAGGACCATATAATAACACCTTTAAAGATATTAAAATCCGTTTCCTCCATGGCTACCATAGTATATATTTTACTACAAAAAATTCAGTTTTACTCAGATATGATAGATTTAAACTTTGTGTTGGTGTTCAACTTAATCTGTCCCTTATTTTCATTTTAAAGGTGTTAGGCCTACATGTATCCACGGTTTTTCGACTCAACCATTATTTTATAAATATATAACAAATAGTTCCCATTTCTCTGAATAACATATAAAAAAAACAATCCTTTTTTCAGAACTTCTTAAAAAATTCATAGAAACGTCCTGAAATTTTCAAATTTTGAAGAATGTCCTATATTGGTGATTTTTATTCCACGTGTATGTGTTATTTTCATACAAAACGTCAACGTTACGGTGTTGAAGAATATAACGTCAACGTAATGACGTGACAGTATTGATTAAGAAAACAATGCTAAATTGAAACTGCTGTAAAAAGAAAACCAGAAAAGATATTCGTAAAAAATAAAATCTTTTACAACATACAAATCTTCGAGTATAATGACAGGAAGTTTCACTTGCTTTGATGACTAGGCGGATTTTTGCACTTCGTGAACTTAGCTCTTTTAATCAAAACTTTGCTATACATTATTTTGTTAATACATGTATATTTAAAATTCATATAAACTTAGACATGTCTGCACATACACTAACTGCATCATCCGATGAAGATGAATTGGCAGGTCTAAAAATAAAGGAAAAAGAATTTAAACTATAAATATACAATGTACTGCAAAAAATAAAAATTCTAAATCTTCAGAAGTAAAACATTACAGGTTTATGACTATATTTCAAGACCTAGGAATGCACTTAGATAAATTTCCACTTACTTTTTATCCCGTTTCAATTTATTGCCACTTTGTAAATCTGTATTAATTGTATCTTTAGTTTTTGTCTCTCCATTTGCTTCAACCTACAATAACAAAACATTCTATTATAAGTTTGCAAATGAAACCAAAGTCAAAAAAAAAATTCCAAAGAAGTTGTGAAGGGAGAGGATCCCCCCTCCGTATTGTACATCACTCAATAAGAATTAGAAGATATACACTGATAGTAAAGAAAATAAACTGTAGCAGGTCAAGTAGTCTCAAGAGTTATCTCCCTGTCTTGGGCTTGTTCTGACCCGCCTCATTATGTGGGAGGGGTGTATCAGTAACATGGTCTTCTTTTACCAATGCTACTTTCTTACCGTCCAATGACTCAATGATTAAGAAGGGTAACATAGGAAAAATCTGCTGATGGAGAACAGACGAGCCATCTTGACCTGGGTGAGCATCGTGGCCCATAGGCCTCCTGTTTCTTAGCAATATAATACATAGGAATATACCATAGGATAAAAAATCTGATGAAGAGCAGCAGCAGGGTCATGTTGACTCAGGTGAACAGATTGGCCCATGGGCCTCTTGTTTTTGAAAATGACATGCAGCATGAAAACTTTTTTCTTTCCTTTCTTCTAATGGTCTTACTGGAAAGCGCACAGTTGGTGGCACTATTTGCCAAGAATTTTAGAAGGGGATCAAATCCCCTTTTGCCAGAAAAAATGCATACCTCAGTACTAATGCACAATATATAGCTAGATATATTTTCAAAATTTAATTTAGTGACACATGAATGCACTTAGTTTAAAGCTACCTCTTTGTATTGGGGCTTGTTAATTTACACATGTTTGTTCACTGTGCAGATCATGTAATATGGTATCAGTTTAAAGTCCAAATCACTTCACAGTGTATAACTATCTTAAATTACCTGTACATCAAATCTAGGTCATAGGTAGGAGATTCCTAACAAACATGGCCGCCAGTGTACCCAAATATCCACTGGGCTCTTCTCAAGAGCATATTGTAATGTGTGAATCCCATGATTTACCTATCGATATGTTATGTGAGGTTTGTGATGAATTTATTTGTGGTAAATGTGATAAGACAGAGCATGAAGATCACGAATGCAACACTCTACCTACTGCAGCTACCAAAAGGAGGAGAGGCTTGCTTAGATTTTTGATGAAGATCAAGGAACGGGACCGTCCCAGAATTGATGAGGAGATGGAGAAGGTGTCAAAACGGATCGCAGCAAATGAAGAACTGTGTGACACTGAGATTGAAAAGCTTCAGAAGCATGTTGATGAGATAATTGCCAGGTTAAGAGAAATAAGGAAAAATAATGAACAAAGACTGATAGATAATTTGGAGGAAAAAAATAAAAAGCTGAATAGTGAGAAATCTGAGCTAGACAAGAAGAAGAAAGAAATAGAAGAGATGGTAAAGTTTATGGAGGAAAACAACAGTACCATGTCTGATTATGGCTTCATTGACAATCACAGAGAACTGGAAGAACTGCTGTTTGACCTAAGCGTTGATATAGAGGACTGTAAACATTCAGCGAGATACAGTAAAGGAGAAATTTGTAATGAGGTGATGGAGAATTTGATTGGAAAAATTATAGATTTGAACAATATCAGTTTGACTGAAACAAACTCATTTAAATATGGAAATAAAGAAATACGTTTATTGAGTGCGTTATGTGAAGATCAGTGTTACATAAAACAATCAGGGTCAGATAAGATTGAACAAGTAAACAAGAAAGGCAAGAAAATACATAAATATAATATCAAAGCTGATTATATGTGTGTGACTGATACTGGTGATGTTTATTTTGCTGATCGTTTGAAGAAATCCATCGGCCATCTGTCACCACCAGGATCTGTGTCTGAAGTCATCAGTACAGATCCACTGATACCAAGAGGAATCTGTCAGTCAGTGGACGGTGGACTACTGGTCACCTTGATAGACGAATCATTACCTTACAGGTTAGAGCCACACAGCAGACGTTTGGTGAGACACATCACAGTGACAGGTGATGTCATCCATGAGTATGAGTTCCAGGAGGACGGTCATACCAGACTGTTTACATTGCCAGGCAGAGTCACACAGAACAGTAACTGTGATATCTGTGTTGTAAACACTACACATCTGACTACAAGTGTACTAGTGATTATGTCTTCCTCTGGTCGTATGAAATCTGTCTACCGTGGAGACAGCCCTTTCTTCCGTGAACTGAACCTAACAAAAGACTTTAATCCAACTGATGTAGTGTGTGACTCCCTCTGTAACATCCTTGTTAATGAATTTAACATCAAACAGATTCATCTACTGGGTCCTGACGGGGAGTTCCTGAAGTTTTTACAGACAGACAATGAATTGAACAGTCCATACACTTTATCACTCTATAAGTCTACATTGTGGGTCGGATATAAGGGAATTGTCAAAGTGTTTCAGTATAGAATGTAATATACATGAATTGTGATAAATTTCACTCATACACGTATTTAATAGAATTCTGCTTCTGACATTTCATTTTTGTTAATCCTAGTCAAACTACAAGTTTATATTTTTAATTCAATTTCAATGGACAAAAAAAAGAAAGAAAAAAAAAAAAGAAAACCATGACACAAGTATAAGAAGTAATTGATAAAATTAAGAGCAGATTTTAAGTTCATTCTGCATTGTTTATGCTGTTACCAAATCAAAACTAATTCTCAACTGTAGTCCGTAATTTACAATGTCTGTTTAGTACTTTAATTTATTTTAATAAATAGATAACTGAAAATGACAAACATACAGATAATCCTGCTCAGAAATATTCAATTATTATCAAAGAAGTACTGGACAGTTGGGTACCAACACAATGTTTTAACAATAATAAAGACTACACAATTACCCAAACGTCTTTATCCAGATCGTCATAATTTACTCTTAATCAGCTTTAAAAAAAATGTTTAACTTAAGACTAAATTAACGACCTTTGTGTATTTTTTTTTTTTAGAAATGTGTTTTATTTTACATAATTTTTTTTTTCGACTAATAGATTACAGATTTCCTAACCGATTGCCATCATTCCAAATGATTAATCAATTAGAAATTAACATCTCTAATTACAGTGTAATATAAAGTTTTTCGGAAATTTCTGTAAATAAATAAAATTTGAGAAAGAAATGACCTTGCAAAATTTTAGCAAAGTAAAATTTCATGGGATAAAATGTGAATTACAATGTGTACAGATATTTATTCTGAATAATTTCAATCAAAAAATTCTTTTCAATTCAAACTAATAACTTTACTCTTCAGGGAACAACATTATTTGCGACTATTTGATTCAATGCTTGCCAACTGACACAAAACAGTTGCATTAGAACTTACTTTTCACATTAAAATAATAACTTATGTAACATCATTATTTGTGACTGTTTGATTCAAAGCTTGCCGTGTTTTACTGTTAACATTAGAATTTACCTTTGTCTGTTTTTTCTATTTTTCTAATTTCTGTTTCTCTCTCCTCCTCAATACAGAGATAAAAAGTACAGAAAAGAATAAAAAAAAAAAATTAATGTACAAGTACTTTACGTTTTATCTCTATTCCATTCATAAAATCCTAGTTGTCCAGAAATTTTTTTTTTTACATATGAATGCCAAACAATTAAAATTCTTATCATCTTGATAAGGGTTGCCCAATCACAACTTAACAATGGCATCTCAAATCACAGATTTTGAAATATTCATGCAAGTCACCTTTTTCTTTGCTTTTCTTTTCTCTTACCTGCTTTTTTTTCTCCTCCTTAGATATTAATTCTTCTGCATTTCTATTTATTTCTTGAATGATTCTTTTATTTTTATTTACAGACAGACATGAGAGCAATAAATTCCATCAAAATTGTTCTTATATGGTTTTTCATTTAAAAGTTAAAAAAAAATTTATATATTAGAATGCTGTCATTTTAGATCACCTGAGCCGAAAGCTCAAGTGAGCTTTTCTGATCACATTTTCTCCGTCGTCCGTCCGTCTGTCCGTCTGTCTGTCTGTCCGTCCGTCTGTAAACTTTTCTCATTTTCGACTTCTTCTCAAGAACCACTGGGCCAATTTTGAACAAACTTGGTACAAAGCATCCTTGGGTAAAGGGAAATTTAAATTGTTGAAATGAAGGGCCAAGTCCCCTCACAAGGGGAGATAATCAAGAAAAGACAAAAATAGGGTTGGGTCATTAAAAAATCTTCTTCTCAAGAACCACTGGGCCAATAAAGCTGAAACTTATGTGGAAGCATCCTGGGGTAGTGTAGATTATAAATTGTTCAAATAATGACCCCCCGGGGGTAGAGCGGGGCCACAATAGAGAATCCAAGTTTTACATAGAAATATATAGGAAAAATCTTTGAAAATCTTCTCATGAACAACAGGGCAAGAAAAGCTGAAACTTATGTAGAAGCACCCTGGGGTAGTGTAGATTCTAAATTGTTCAAATCATGACCCCCGGGGGATAGGGCGGGGCCACAATTGGGTATCAAAGTTTTACATAGAAATATATAGGAAAAATCTTTGAAAATCTTCTTCTCATGAACCACAGCGCAAGAAAAGCTGAAACTTATGTGGAAGCATCCTGGAGTAGTGTAGATTGTAAATTGTTCAAATAATGACCCCCGGGGGTAGGGCGGGGCCACAATGGGGAATCAAAGTTTTACATAGAAATATATAGGAAAAATCTTTGAAAATCTTCTCTTGAACCACAGGGCAAGAAAAGCTGAAACTTATGTAGAAGCACCCTGGGGTAGTGTAGATTCTAAATTGCTCAAATCATGACCCCCGGGGGTAGGGCGGGGCCACAATTGGGAATCAAAGTTTTATATAGGAATATATAGGAAAAATCTTTGAAAATCTTCTTCTCATGAATAACTGGGCCAGAAAATCTGAAACTTATGTGGAAGCATCCTGGGGTAGTGTAGATTCAAAATTGTTCAAATCATGACCCCCGGGGGTAGGGCGGGGCCACAATGGGGAATCAATGTTTTACATAGAAATATAGGGAAAATCTTTGAAAATCTTCTTCTCATGAACCACAGGGCAAGAAAAGCTGAAACTTATGTAGATGCACCCTGGGGTAGTGTATATTCTAAATTGTTCAAATCATGACCCCCAGGGGTAGGGCGGGGTCACAATGGGGAATCAAAGTTTTATATAGGAATATATAGGAAAAATCTTTGAGAATCTTCTCATGAACAACAGGGCAAGAAAAGCTGAAACTTATTTGGAAGCACCCTGGGGTAGTGTAGATTCTAAATTGTTCAAATTATGATCATTGGGGTAGGGTGGGGTCACAATATGTATTACAAGGGGGAAATATGGTAAAAAACAGAATGGTCAAATATTCTCAGGTGAGCTATGTGGCCCATGGGCCTCTTGTTTCAGGGCTAGTGAATCTTTGTCAGGGTCAACAACTTGAACTGACAGTCAGGGCTTACATGTATTTTCATCAATGATTAGTATCTTTACCTTCTAATCATAAGAGTTAAGGCGAAATAGTTTAAATACGTTGGTCTCTTTTTGAGTGTGGAAGGCCTTTGTCACTAACCTTGATGATTGTAAACCCTTTCTCCCACTATTTGGTTGAACTGGCGAGTACCAGTAAGGGAACACATACATTTATAGCGAACATGCTAACTGTAAACTTTGATTTAAGTGACCTTGAATTTGTCTCTATCATGACCTTTGTAATAGGGTAACGATGCATCTACCTTTCCATATCTCTTATACAAATTGTTTGTTGTAACAATTGTAACAGATTCCAATCTTTAATTTAAACTTTTATGAACTGGACACTGTCACTTTTCTCTACTGACAGTGATTCTGAAGTTGTCCAACATATAGATACTTGTTGACATCAGCATATCCAGGATTATTGTACAGATACTAAGTGTAGCTGCAGAAACGTAGCTCTCTGCTTTAGAAAATTCGGACATATAAAGCAGAGGCCTGTTCAGCAGAGCGAACGTTCGCGAGCGTTTGCAAAATTCCTTATACCTCCATAGTAATTTTGGCGAGCGCTCGCAAACGTTCCTCTACTGAACAGGCCTCTGACAGATCTCTTTGCTTTGTCTGTCCGAATCTTCTTAACCCGAGAGCTACAGTTCTGCAGCTATGCCACGTGATGATCAAGATATAAATACACCATTCCCTTGCACCCATCGCATTTTAACTGCAGACAGTCATACACTCAAAAAATCAGTCAGTTATTTCATTATTTTCCTGAGCGCATTACACATGGAAGGTCAAGCCTCAATCCTATCGGTACAGGGAACTTCAGTAGTGTTCGAGGGGCCTACATGAAGACACACGGACATGGCAATATTTGCGTTTAAGTTAATCATGACCTCAAGGGACCTCTTCTTAGTGGACAGAATGGCATCTATGTTTAAAACTTGCGCACGGTAATTCGTCCATTTCGCAATCTTCTACGAAAATGGAATATCCAGATTAACATTGATCAAATGTAAAATTTCAGATGAAAGAAACTTCCCTTGGTTGTAACTGTCAATACTAATGATATATGTATTAGAGTAATATAGGTTATCACAAACGTAATAATTTAACTAGATATTTTTTGTTTAAATACAGAATACACATACTTCATGTAGTTTTAATTTACTTTTTTTTCTAGTAAATGTGTATCCAAAGATGAGCATCTATGAAAGTTTGCTTTAAGCAGGATTCAGTTACTTGGGAAAGGATTTGCTAAAAAAGCGTGTTTACACATTAAAACTAGATGCTGTCATGAGACAGTAATACCCGCACTAAGGTGTTTGCCTCTAAATACACAATCCTACGGGCGGCTTACCAAGGAAAAAGTCAAAATAATTCTATATAATTCAGGCACGTAGCATCGTTTTTGAAAGTGGGGGGGGGGGGGCAACCTGAGAAAATTTTTTTTACTAACCTAAAAAAATTAACAAGGAAAAAAAATGAAATGGGGGGTGGGGGTGGGGGGGGGGTGGTGGCCACTTTTTTTTCAAGGCAAAATTACTTTCACTTCCAATTTTTCCCATATTTCCTTGCAATGTATATACTGTGGTTAAAAGTGGGGGGGGGAGGGGGACAACCATCTTTTTAATGGACATTTTCTTATCGTACCGGTAATGTTGGGAAAAAAAGGGGGGCAGCCCCCCCCCAAGCCCCCCCCCCCCCCGGTTGCTACGTGCCTGTAATTTACATATGTATTCATAAAATTGGGTATGAAATTATCCCTGTGACCTATAACTCAGAACCTCTTATATTTATTTTACATGCTTAATTCATTATATACCAGTTTGAATTCTATTAATATAAATGTAAATTAGATTTTGATAAATGTTTTGCCCATATTAGGACCTTTTTAAATTTACTAATCCCCCCCTCTCGACACCACAATCACACAGTACATACTTTTGGGAATAGGCTAGATGGAACAGTTTTGTTAAAACAGTGT